AACATGTAATGACGTAATCTTTATATATATTGTTAATTTATCTCTTGTCCTCTCGATATATTTAATGTAAATCTAATAATATATAATTAAAATTTTGTAATTTTACGCATTAACATCCGCATTGACTTTTACATGCCCTTAATTGTACTTATTTAAATTTATTGTATAATAAATAAGGATCGTAGTCTGTATTTATAAAATTAAAATAAAGAAACAATGACGCGTTCTAGAGAAGAAAAAAACAAATAAACAATTGTACAGTATAACACTAAATATATTTAATGTAAATCTAATATCAAATAAGTCCAGGAACAATTGTAACTGACTCCAGGTATTGAAGTTACTATTATCTCTTAATGATATTTTATGATTTATATAGTAAATAAAATAAAATAAAAATCTAGATAAAAAGTCAATTCAAATATACAAATCATCAATATAGACAATTATTAAAACATATTATAATAATAATATAATAATAATAATAATACGTTATATTTTCGCTATAAAGAAAAAAAATACTTATAAACAAAATAGACAGAGCTGTATTTTGCAAGTCCATATATAATATATAATATAATAAATGTCCATATATAATAAATGTAATTTCGGTGAGCGACTATATATCGTCCGTCATAGCAAAAAGATTACACGAGAATATACAAACTTGAAACAACTTTGTTAAAAAATTATTTAATTATCAGACGATTATTTTGTTAATAAATAAATAAATACAGAAAAATTATAGAAGGATGGGAAACATATGGGAAATATTATATAGGAAGTATTGATTAAAAGCAAACAATACATTATAAATTTAAATTGTAATCTATTACGAGCTATTAACGGTCAATATATGACTGAAAGAAGGCAAGACGATATCGAAACTAATACTAGTATTTTACTGCAAATATGAATATTATTCCTTGAGCATTAGTTGCACGATCTATATTTATCAACTCTTATTAATCATGTATAATACAATTTGCTCAAATTTTGTTATTTTTAAAACGAGTCAATCTTCATTTTAGTTTCATACAAGTTGTTGCACGCAAAATATAGATCTGTCATTATTTTTTCTAGTTTTCAGCAGAGACAATGAAAATAAATGCTATAGTCATATTATGCTTTATTGTATGACAATGACAACAATGATTATAAAAGTGTGTGTGTGTGTGTATATATATATATATATATATATATATATATATATATGAGACTACATTAATATTTTATGTACAATGAAATATATAACATTGGAATCTATTAACTCGTCAGACCGTCGCGTCGGTCTCGATTATTATTTATCTGTCACGCGTACCGATCTTGTTTTTGCATTCAAAAGTACGCAAAGATCACAGCGTACGATAAAATTATCGAGTAGAAAAATATATCGATGAACATAATGACGACGATTTAAGGGGATAAAAAACATGATCGATATAAACATCTTTCGAATCACGGAGGTTGAAGCCTACAAATCTCGACAAAATCTCAATTATGGCGTTATGGGGTTCTTTAAATTCGACAAAGTGTAAGTTAACTTCCCGTTTATTTTTAAAATTAATTTCAACTAATATTCATCGAAATTATTGGCGGACAAAAGCGATCTGTTAATCATAACGGTGAAAACTGACAAATCGATTGAAATTACGGTGAGAGGTCGTATAGGATTCAATCTTCGTAAAACGACACACACGTCCAACGCTCATGAAATGTTGAGGAGAAAATGCACTTCGCTTCGCCCTCGAATTTCGTTAGTACTCTCGATAGTTTGACACCGTGCTTGAGAATAAAATTGAGCAAGTTTGCAATTCGAATTGCTGCCTGCAGCGGCGATGCTCTATTCGAAAGGATCGTTATGGACTGGAAAGCTGACGTAGTAAGTTGAAGCGCATTGCATACAAAGCTAACTATGTGTAATAACGGTTGCACGAGTTCCAGTAGCTGGAAAGTATTAATTAATATTATTTAAATTAATATTATTTAAAAGCACGGTTCGTAAGGGCTAAAGCTGCGTTATACATCGTGGCGCGCGATAAGGAAGAATTGAAATTATCGTAATAGCGCAAAATAGGAAACGCAGAGTAAAATCGACACTATCATCCAAGCTTGAATGAGACACTTGAATGATGCTTTTAAAATCATAGTTACTATATGTAATTCCAGATATATGTAATTCTACATTATATTACATACAATTATATTATATAAAAAGAAATGAACAGCTTGAATTGAGGTATCTTTAAAAGTTCTTTAAGAATCTTCAAAATATTTCACAAAGAACACTGAAAGAAATCTTATTAAAAATTAATTATCTTACATCGATTTTATCTGTTTATTCAATAATGTTTAGAAATTATTTAATAATATCCCGTTAACTATTGCGAAAATTGCAAAATGATAAAGGACTTTTCGATTCAGTTTTTTATTAGAAATAGCACTGTATAATTGGCGTGGGCGTTATTTCAGAAACATTCTGTATATACTACTTAATAAAAAACAGAGAATAGTTTCAAAACGCTTGAAATTTTACAATTTTCAGATCATCGAAACTCAGTAAAAAATCATCGCAGATGAAGAAATATAAAAGTATTCTAAAACTTGAAACTAGTACTTAAATATGCATACTTTAAATTTGGCGGTTTAAACAAATTTTTTATTTTTATTTTTATAGTTCTATATCTTAATAGAGATCATATTATTGTGTTCAAAACGTAGATACATTTAACATACAGTCTATAGTTCGATGAAAACCTTTTTTCTTAAAAATTTAATACTTTAAAAAAAAGTATAGTTTATATATATATATATATATATATATATATATATATACACTGCTTTTTCTTACGAAAAAAATTTTCTTACGATTTTTCTTAACAATGATTTTCACCGAAACACGTTGATTAATAAGTTGATAAGACATGCAAGTTTAGCTTCAAAGTCGCTTTAAAGAAACGTAAAAAATATACGAAATGCTTTTCGAAAAATAATTGTAGTGCAACTACTACTTTAAAAAAAATTATCCAAATAATATATATATATATCTCTGTATTATCGTTTATTCTTCTTATTTCAATCCAAGTGATATAAGACAGTAGCTTTAATTCTTCTTAAAAAAAAAATCACAAAGTATTGCGCCAAATAAAAGTTATACACGTTACTTAACTCCCAAGTGATATGTATTCTCGAATTCTCACTTAAGAATAATTTCAATCCAAGTGATAGTACCTTTTCTAGTTATTTTTTAAAAATAACTGCGTCAAGTTTTTTATATTTCTAGTATTTGTTTTTGTCAATGTATTATAGTTTAATTGTAATCTTGGTTCAACTAACTCTTCATCTTTTTCTAGTTCAAAGAATTAAAAAAAGGGTAAAGAATAAGTTGAACCGAGATTAATTCATCTGTCAATTGCTAGTGTAACTGATGTCTTCGTTAGTCATTTTCATTCAGCTTTTCTTCCAAAGATATTAGCAAACAAATCTTTTTTTAACATCGGATAAATGACAGGTAATTATTTTAAATTAATATGATTAATGTTATAATCATGTATATGTATAGATTTATTCATCATATTTCTCTTTTTCAGAAACTGTTAATGATTTATAGAAGCCAGAATATTGTTTGTTAAACAACTCATACAAAAGAAATAAGTATGCATAATCACGATGCTATAACATCTTGTACATTGTTGCAAAATTACAATCTTTTTCTCTATAGGATCTTTTTTTTCAGAAGACACTCGGAATCCGGTCGGATATCCGACTCGGAGAAATTGTCTTCTTGGATATCCGACGTTACATTCTGTCCGGATATCCAATATCCAGTAATTTTACGATCCGGTGCATCCCTACTTGCAACCATTTCTTTTCTATTAGATGTTGGAATTAATTCGTAGCGTTTTACAAGTGATGGGAAGTACTTTCATTAATGTATTTTTTAATGCTCATGTGAAATAAATAACATTCTTTCATTAAAAACGCTACGAATTAATTCCAACACCTAATATGTGATATTGGCTGACGTTAACTTATTTGGACTATCTGATTAATACTTTTAGCTGATATTGTATAGCTAAAAGATCTTTAATGTAATGTATCACTTATGTTAGTACAGGAAGAATGAATATATAAAGTATCAAAATTCGTGATTCAAAATACAACAAGAAGTTTCAGAAAAATTAAGTACATTGAGTAAAAGTTTTCTGTTTAAACAAATTTTTATTTCAAACAATAGTTTGAAAGATATAAGAGTTTAAATATGGCCAATTACAAACTACATTTAGATAGTCATCTGTGAACGCGCTGAAATGTGCGCTTATCAGCACTCAGTACTACTACGCGTGTGGCTCATGAACATGTGACTATCTAAACATAGTCTGTAATTGGCTAATTTAAACCCTCATTATCTAAAAAAAATTACTGTTTAAAATAAACATTTAAACACAACAACTTTTTCACTTAATTGTTTGAGAACTATTTTACTATAATATTTTAAATCGCAAATTTTAGGACACCTCGTATAGAAATACAAAAATACATATATCACTTGGGTTTTAGTTTTCAAAAATAATTGTAACAACTACTGTAACAACAGTTGTTTTTCGAGGAACGCGCGCATTTGATATCTTTTTTTTTTAAAGATAATTTTGTAAAGTAGAAAGTAGTGAATGTATTGTATTTTTTACTTCTACTTTAGACTGTAAAAAAAAGTTACTAAAAAATTACGAGTACTTGCACTGCAAGGTTAAAAATTATCATAACAGCAGAAAGTAGGAAATATAAAGTAAAAATCGAAATTCATCCAAGCTTGAATGACATTTGAATTAGAAAATTCTTGAAAGTAGAAAGTAGCGAATGTATTGTGTTTTTTACTTCTACTTTAGACTGTAAAAAAGTTACTAAAAAATTACGGGCACTTGCGCTGCAAGGTTGTGAATAATAAATGACTTGTATATAGATAATAATAAAAAAGATTTATTTTTCTTGATGTAGCTTGATTTAAAAATTTCTCGATTTAATCAATTTCTCACGATAATTTTTTAAGATGCTCAAAAACTATTTATTCCAATATCTTTCCAGTTATTGAAACGAAATTTCGAGACCGATCCTTCGGCATTGGTATTGTATGTATATGATATATTTAAATTGAACTCGTGCACGACCTTGACTCTTTTCGAGTTATTTTCATATTACTCGATCGAGGCCGGTGGGCCTCATTGGCAAATCTCTCTCTCTCTCTCTCTCTCTCTCTCTCTCTCTCTCTCTCTCTCTCTGCAGCCAGGCATGCACCTAGACCGATCAATAACTATCTTTCATGCCTACGTCTTGCGGCCGCGGTGCAGTATAGTCGAAGGTATTTTAACGATAAAATTATTCCGCAGTGCTCAGATACACGAATATTAAACGAGAACTATCTCTCTTTCATTTCCATCAATTCAATATCAATTCTAATGGCGAATGATTAACCAAATTGTTCGAGATTAGAACGAGTGAGATTTTAAGGTCATATTAACGAGAGATTGGCCAGTGAACACACGAGAACCATGTCGAGAAATCAAGCTAAAATTTGACGATGAATGATTTCAGCTGGATATTATTCCAGGATAGAATCGATACATTTTTACGTCATTTACATTTTTATGAACGCACATTTTTATGTTTTTTTTTCCCCCCCCAGAATCGGTTATTTCTGCCGGTGATTGTCGCATGTTATCGCAATGTCCAAGGCCAAAAGATACGAGAAATTTTCACGGGTGGTCCAGTGCTCGCGCATACGACGCAATCTGATCGATGCGCCAGCGGCGCGTTAACGGGGCTCTGCCGTTATGCAACTTACTGCACCAACGAGGTTGCACCAATGAGAGATGCCAAGGTCGTTGCACCAACGAACCCGACGCAGCATCGGCGCAGCCGGCTTATCGTCGCCAAGTTTAATATCTCGTATACACAAATGTCTTTTATGCGAAATTCAATCTTTGCACAACTCATGTTTCTCGTCATTACACCAGCACGAAGGGTTATAATGTATTTCCGCACTTAATTATCAAAATAAATCGTATGATGATTTGTATATTGTATTGGTGCAACTTGAAATGCGGTGAACTCCATTAAAATATTCAAAATTTACATAGAAGAGAACTTCTACGTTCGATTTCCTATTATACATAATTTCTGATTATAAAGTATTTTGTACTATTTCATACGAATTTAATCACTGTAAAACGGATCTTTTAACATGATTCTAAATAAAAATTACACTACCTTTTTTTTTTCCTCCAATATAACAGGGAAGGTAAAGGAAATATCGAAAGAACACGATTTAAAAATAAGATATACGGGCGAATATGTGAGGCAACAGCATAGCGCAGATAGCACAGCCTTTGCGGAATATGCAATAGTCTTCGATATCTCCGTCACCGTGCATTATCAGCTCGCACCTGTCTGCTTTCGTCAGTGTCAGAGAGACGTTTCTGCGACGCTCAAAGCGCATGCAGGACTTTCCAGTCGCAATTATTGTCGGACCCTGTCGACCTCCGCGATGCATCTTAAATACGGAGGGAGAAGCCATTCCCGCGGTGAGCCTTAACGATATTGCCAATAGAATGAGATACTCACCGTCGTCTCCCGCGTGCTTCAGGACGCCGGAGGAATTCCTAGAAGGATTTTCACGGCTCTCTCTCGTCATTACGTTACGGGCGCGAAATCTGTCGGTGGCGGCTTATGGCTTCCACGCGCTGCGTGAGCCGATGAGAAGGTCGGAAATGTAGATAAAGACGACGATGACGACGATGACGACGATGACGACGATGACGACGATGATGACGACGACGAGAAGGAATGCGAGAATCGACCGTCGCACCACGAAGAGAGAAGACAGACGAGGGGAGAAGGTGGCGTACTTCCAAGCTCCTGGCAAGACCTTAGTTCGAGGCGGAGGGCGTCTTAGGTGGCTGGAAGGGGTTCCATTTCAGACACTCCGGATCGATCTCTTTGTAGACGGGGCCCCGTCTCTTCACCCTCTCCTTGTAGTCATCGATCACGTCCTGAAATTATTTCAACGATTCCTTTCAACGTCTCCTTTTTTTATCCGTGTCTCTGTTCCGGGTGTCTGTCTGCGACGCGACAACTCGTAAACGTTTTTAATTGCATTGACAAGAATCAGAGGGAGTTGAGGAAATGTATAATGGCGAAGCGCCGAGCAAGATCGAATGAGTACGATTTAATTGAATGATAATTAGCCTCGCAGTTATGCTGTCTGCTTGTATATCGTTTCGAGATATCGTTTCCCAGGACCAATGAAAGGACGAAATCGGATCGTCCTTGTTGCATTATAATCGTTCATCACGTTAATAAATACATTTCACATTTCCGATATTCATCATGTTTGTATAGTATTTATATCGAGAGGCGTTTTGTTATATCAAAACAATGGGTCATTATTCCTCGTTATCTACATTTCAGTTTGATTTGAGATAAGAAAAACGTATTGAAGTAAAATATTCCTATGAGATTGATTATTTACACCTGATTTACACGATGCTCTTGTACTAGTAATTAGTCTGGTGGTCTATAATAACAAACTAGAAAATTAGCAGCTAAAGAAATATAATTTATAGAAATAATAATTTATTTGAAAAATACAATAATTCATTGTAAATCAGAAATATTGAACTGCTTATTAGTGACGACCTCACATCAATTTTTACGATATATTTGATATATATTATCAAGCTCATAGTCTTGATCTTCAGAATTTTAGCTGTCGATTGTTGTTTATTGAAATATTAACAATCAAAATTAATTATTCTCTCTGATATATATTGTATTTTAAAATATATTACAGTAATGTAATATATATTTTCGCGTGGAAAGTTATAAACCCATGTCAAACTTCATTTTGCGTTACAAGTATATGCGTGAACAGGATTCTCTCTGTAGGGGTCATCACTACCAAAAAAACACATAGGTTTAGCTGAAACTCACCTCACTTCGTATGAATTTTTCACACAAAGCGAGATTCAACTTAAAGCTCATTTTTCGATAATGGAGCCCTCCCTATAGGGAGGATCAAACCCACCGCATTCACACATACATTTTTCACGCAAAGCCAAGTTCCACATAGATCTCCAACTTTCCACGCAAAACGTGGTAAGCGAGTTAGACACATTTTTATATTGTTAATTTCTTTTGTTAATTAATAACTTTACGAACAACGAGACGACCGTTAAAATTTTTCTGAAAGCTATTCAGAGTCACGATCTTGTCAATATATGCCGTCGATGAAGTCGTCATTAATATGCAGTTTTTTTTAATAGTTACATAATTTAATAATCACATAATAGTCACACAAAAAGTAATTTTTTAAAACAAAAAAGAAATTTTCATGAATTTGGAAAAACTACACATACGACGACGTTGTCAACAACTTAGTTTATGGAAGTTTGTATATTTATATTTAAAGCTCATTTTTTAATAATAATTTCATTGTTAATTAAGTTTCTTGTCATACTTAGAAATTAAAAAATGTTTAATTAATAACAATCTGTAACAAAAATCGTATTAATATTCATTCCTTGAATTTTAAATATGAATTACAAACACCTCTAATAAATTTAGTATGTTACGGTAAATGTGACATACTGTTGAAAAGGAAACTTACTTTCTAATAAAACTTTCTAAACAAAAATAATATAATAATAATAATATATATAAATCTAAACATTATTTAAACAATTTTTACATTTTAATCGGGTACGTACTTTGTTTTATCATTCTCTAAAATTTACAGGCTATAATAAAACCTTTATTGAATCCAATAATTATATACTATGGAGTACCATTTCGCAACACGAATGTAAATAATCATTTCCGATGTTTGTTGCGTGCTGTGAACACAAATCCGTTGGCAAAAATTGGCCATCACGTCATAACTTTATGAAAAATAATGTCAAACAGGCAAAAAATGACGATTTTGAGGTTTTCAAATGTTGTAGCACCGGCAGCTAGTTCTTTTCCTTAATTTCCTTAATTAATGCCATATATCAAAATATCAATTTTTAACTTTAAAATGTATTTTAGTTCAATTCGATAAGATTTTTTATTTTTGAGACAGCAGTTTGAAAATATAGAGTTCATTTCTCATGTAACAGTATTCGACAAATAAATAACATTATTTTAAAGAAAATTAATATTTTGGAATATTTTTTGAAATGTTTATTCTATCATTCTTTAATAGAACTGATGACGATTATTTATATATATAAAATATTAAGATTTATATAACATTTTCAAAAAATTTTTTCAAATTAATTACAAAGTTACGGAATATTTAAATTCAACTTTGTATTTTTCTGTCATAATTACCCATAGCGACCCTACAGGTTTATTTATATGTATACAGGCTTTGACCAAAAATATTAGGCACTTATGTATATTCTTTTCATCTATCTAAACTTCTTTTATCTGTATTGTTTCCTATAGCATTGTATATAAGTTTAAAGAGTTCTTAAAATAAAGAATAATTCATAACAAATGATCATAAATTAATTTTTGAGCTAAAACATTATATAATAAATAAGACATCTAACACTTTCTAGTTAAGAGGGTGGACAACACAAAAGAGCGCTTACCTGTTTCTTCAGAATGATATGCTTGCCCTTCCAGTATTTCATCATACCGAGGGCCTGTAAAGTGCTGACAATATCATACGAGTCGATGGCCATTTCCTTGCTGATATCTGAAACAAAAAATTACCGAGCATGTGTGTTTGTTTCTTTGTCTCTTTCATGATCTTCATTGACTCTCTCCCCTTTCCCCGTTGGAAGTGGAAACTGTTGTTGATGGAAAGGGACATGTAATAATCCAATTTTTTAAAAGAAACTTGTTCCTCTCGACGTCATACAGAAAGAATAATATAATAAAATTGACGAGGGCTAGTAAAAAGAAACATGATGAATAAAACATCGTGAATTTATTACTATTTATATTTGTGTGAAAATATTTTATGTATGAAGGATATTATCAACACACAAAAAAAATGTTAGCACACGCGTTTCGAAAAAAATATTTTCTACTTTTATTAGTCTCTTTAATTACGCAAACCCGGTCTTCGAGTTTTTCACAAGTCTCTGGTTAAAAATATATTCTTTATATTCTAAACTATACTATTAGAAATGTAATCACGAACTTTCTTTACAAATGAAGGTCGTGGTTATGAACGAAATAAAAAGTAATGAATAATTTAACTGAAAATTAAGTTGCAGTAATTACTTAAATGAACGTGTACATTAAATTTATGAAATTTAATGTACTTTTAATAAAATTTTATGAAAAGTACATTAAATTTCATGAAAAATATAATACATTAAATTTTATGTATATGTACACAAATATATTTTTTAATTATAAATACATTAAATTTGATGTAATGTCATGAAATTAAGTTCGAATTATGTAACTTAAAATTTAATGAAATTTAAGAACATTTCTAACAGTGTAGAAGCTATCCAAAACTGCGAAGAATTAAAATAAATAAACAATGTTAAATTAAGTATCTCAAAAATTAAAATTAATAATAATAATAAAAATAATATATTTATATTTATTTTACATCAACCCGATTAATTATAGATATTGAATTAATTTAACGCTAAAAGAAATAATAATAAACTTTAATAAAGAATTTGATGGTAGGAGTCGCAAAAATGTGGAAATGATAAATCACATATAATCTGCTGCGGTTTTCAGCGACTGGACAGTTTATCCTGCCCTTCATGGATATAATTATTCAACCGCTAAAACCAGTTACGTTGAGAAAACTTGACCATCGGATCAATAACAATGCGGCATAAATTCTCTGCTGACAATTCTCTTGTCTCAAGGCACTACATCTAAAATATATAGATTCAATAATATCCACCGAATTATTACAAAATATTGAAATAGAATAACTTTTGATTAAACAGCGAAAAGTGAAAAGTTGGCAAAGTCTCCTCTTGCTAGATTGCGAAATTTTCAAGAAGTTGCTGAAGATTTTTGCTAGAGTCGCGACGAATGTAAATTTTCTCTCCACGAGAAAATTACGCTTTTGAAACCAGGCGTTGAATCAGCAGTTCGAAGCGAGACTTCTAGCAAGTCGCATTAACGCACTTTCAATCTACGTATAAATATTTAAATGCCGCTCCGTAATATCGGAAGTCAAAACGGACTGATGGCTGGTAGCTGTGACGGCAGACTTCGCGCTGACCTACCTTTTACGGAGATCTCCTTGCCGCCGAAATTGCAGAGATACTGCAGTAGAACATCTTTCCAATAGCTCCGATACGAGATTAGGCCGAGATCCGAAAGAGGCTTCTCCGGTGAACCGATTTTCTTCTCGACTCTCGTTAGCAAGTAACCTGCGCAACGAATAGGCTCAGTTTATTCAAATATTAATGCTATTTATCAAATCAAATTTAATACAAATATACATAGTGAAGACCATATTCGATTAAAACGTGTCTTGCGTAATAATATTTTTTACATGAATTTTACAATTTCCAATTTAAGCATGCTGATTATTTGTTAATTTTGAAATACATAGTCCCAAACTGAAGCTGGAATACATAATAAAGTAATCGTATATAAGTGTGTACTTAAAACGTCCTATTTGTTGTTTGTAGATAATTATACTGTGAATTTAACAGATAGTATTAGTAAGTTGTGCAAACTATCCATCTCGATTGCATCAGTTTATTGTTCAGTTTGTTCATTCTGTTATTGTTAATAAAGCAAAATGCAAACTGTCAATGATGATGTAACATGTTATAGGCAAATTATTATTTTCTACATCCATCACGAAGTGATTCTTAATTTCCATTCATTTTATTATAACTCTGTGTGTGTGTGTGTGTTTATACTTTACAACACTCTCCTGTATTTAGTTTATATTTTCGTCACAAGGTTTTGTTTATAACTGAAGAGAAAAGAACCTCTTTGTAAGGTAGAACCAATATGGCCAACAAGAATAGGAATTCTATGGAATGTACATATTGATTGTAACGTTTGATACTTTTGTTATTCCAGATCGTGGATTCTAATTCATCTGCTAAACATATGGAAATAAGTAGATAGGTTCATTGTTTAGAAAATAGTACTTTGTGCATTCTTATGTGTCAATATGTTAATAAACTTATTTTCTTATAAAGGTAACATCAGATCATTTTATTTTCTATTTTTATATTTTTTTTTTATTTTACAAAAAAGGGGGAAACATATTTTTCATATTAAGTACATATTATATGTACTCAGTACATCCGGAATACTACTACTTTTTTAAAAATCTTTACTGCACTTATGTAAATATTTGGAAATGTCTCATATATCTTATTAACTCTATGTTTCAAAAATGTTTCTTCTTTTGAACATATAGTTTTTAATTTTAGACTTAGCAAAAAATTAGAAAAAAATCGCAAAACTAAATAGGGACATATAGGACTCGGTTATTTTATCATAATTTAAATTGGCAAGCAATTTAATAATATATTAATGGGAGTATCTTTATAATATAATTATAACTAATATATTTATAACTTTATAAATAATAGGAGTATCTTTAAAACATTGTAAAAAATTCATTGAAAAAGGAAATTTATTTATTTGTTAGTGCAGACTTACGGTATCAATAAAACTCATTCATCAATTAATAATCTTTTTAAAAAAAAATAGGATATAATAATAAAATTAAAATATTCAATAGCTTCACTTTAAGAAAATTGTAATTCCAGATATTTCAACAATTTATACTTCAATTGGTATAATAAAACAATATTGCGGTAATATATTTTTCGAGTACAACAACACTTTTCGCAGCCGGAATTAGTAAGCACTTCATAAGTGAAATTTCTAAAGCATAATTGGACAACAAAATCTTATTATACATTTAAACTGGACAAGTGGCAATGGGCCCGACAGAAATAGACGCGGCCCTGGCCAGCAGTGCCCGTCTACTCCTGGTTGAACGTCCGTTCCGCCTCGTTTGTCCCAAGTATTCTGCGACGAGGCATCAAAGAAAAATGTATAGACAGCCGGGAGAGAGGGAAAGAAGGAGAGGGGAGGAAGGGGGGAGGGAGAGAGAGAGAGAAAAAGAGAAGGCACCTCGAGGCGCTTCGTGCCGCGCGGCCTGCCTGCTTCTTGCTAGTGAATCGGCGAAATGGTCTGTTGCGCGCCATCCGTCTGTCCGTCCACGTCAATGGAATTATCCAAGAGACTAGTTAAAAACCCGTTTTTCAGGGAGCGACTTAAATGTCAGATCCAGATCTACCGCAACCGAGAGTCGAAGATTGATAACGCATTTAAACTTGAACCATCGGCGCTCTGATCAGAAACAGGTGCAGGTGAAATTTATAGGAAGATGGACTTATCGATCAAAGTATGGATCTCACTTAGGGAGAACGTTGATTGGATTCCTCTTCTTTGGTCCTCTTCTTTTCTTTTGAAGCACAAAGTCGGAAATTAACTGAAAATTGGACTTTGTCCCAGTTAAACGTTTCTTTTAAACGTCAATTCAGATTTTCTCGAGGGATGAAATCAGAGAGAATTTATAACAGTGCAGGAATTTCATTTGGTATAATCCCGGTCATTTTATGTCCGCGACGTAAATCTGAAAATTATCTTCCACAAAGATTCTTGCAGGAGTGACATGAGTCACCGAGAAGCTACCATCAAGAGGAGACGAGACTGATCCGCGGAATTCAAGGCTGGGATATGTAAAAGTCAATCTCGAGAGGGACGGGATTTAATGGACTTGCACACTCGCTCGTTCGTTTAGCAAGGATTTCGCAAGTTGATAGCTGCATCTTGCATTATGTATAACCGATCTCACTGTACGCATATACATTAGAACGTGGACGATAGATTCGTGGTAGTATCCAGCGTATGTCATGTCATCCACGTTAGTGTCATCCTCACATTTCCGAAATTACCTCCCACACCGTCAGCAGGTTCAAAAGCTCTCTCATTAGCAAAGTAATCTCTCCCGTGCTGCCGTTTTCCGCCGAATAAATTTTGCCGCCTCCAGAAGATGTTTATTTAAAGTTCCAAATGTACCGTTTCCGCACGGCTGATAGATCAAAGCATGAGATAATTAAGTGTTAAGAGATTACTTGTGGCCGCGAGGGACACATCTTTGATTCATTGTTCCGAGTCTCTTAATCCGAAATCACCGGACGCTTAGCCGCAGACGTATTTCCAGGTATGAAAGTTTATTTGCATCTTGCAAATTAATCCGCGAGACACAAGCTTAAGTTTTGACGCATTGATAACTTATCAATGACTGATATTTAGCGAGAAAAAACTTTCCTTTACAAGGAAATTGCATAAAGGGACAAGCTCTAATGTTAATAATATAATTACAATTTTATGATTATTTTCGAAACTTATATTTTTAAAATTACTTTTAAAAAATATTATTGTGGATAAATAAAGACAATTTTATTATAAAACTTGTATATAATATTATATTTTTTTGATATCTTGAGTAGTTTCAGAGGTAGATAAAAGCCTAAAAAACTTGACTAATAAGGAGTGATTTCATTTTACATATAAAACGATTTTTTCGTTACTGATTATTCTTTAAATAATCATTCATTTACGTAATCTATACAAAGTTTCATTAAAATCAGAATTTCACACTTTGCGTGATTCCCTTAATTTCTTTGATTTTGAATTCTACAGAAATTTCAAAAAAGTACACTGTGAACGTGTTTTCGCCGCGAATTTTAAAATTCTTCTTGATCCAGTCGCAGACGGTTTCAAGGTCGCCGGTGTCCGATATGCATCTATTGCGCGAGTTTGCAGAGATCGGCGCGGACAGATTCACTCAGCGCTTCTTCTCTCTTTGCTCGTGGAGACGCTTTAGACCTCTTTATCCCGCAGACAAGGACGGACAAGAGACGGGAGAGACGTGTTCCCGCGGTGTACTCGGGACCAGGACATGCCGATTCTACGTTCACATTTCCGTGCCCGTTCCAGGGTGTTCCCGGCCGGCGATGGGTTCAATGACCACACCGCTCCATCTCCTCCACCTTCGCAGACCGCGTATCTCCGGCAGCAGAGAGGACACTTCTATCCACCCCCTCCGCCTTCAGCACTCTGCGGCCTCACCCCGCTCTTCTTCTGCACCCTCCCTCTCCACTTCGTTGCTGATTACTTTGGAAGGGTGGAACGCATTCATTACGCGTTCGTTCAGTTTGCAGACTTTCGGGATCGGCGTGTAGGAAAAGGATAGAACGCGAGAGGGGGAGGGGGAGGGGGAGGGGAATAGGGAGAGAATGGAGAATTGGAAGAGGGGAGGAAATTTGAGGATGGAAATTCGAGAAAGAGAAAAACAGTGACCGCCGGGCGGTGGGAGAAAGGAAGATGGATCGGTGTGACGAGAGGGAAGAAGGGAACGAGAGGGAGAGAGGGAGGAACGTCCCAGTCGCGGGCAGGGTCGGCACAACGAAGGGCGCAGAGCGAACGAGGATACGAATCGTGAAAAAAACGCGAACGATGAAATTGGGTGCTATTGAGAGGAGTTCGTTGGCCCCACGATCGAAGCATCACTGACGAGGAGATTTACGATTCATCAGCAATATTTATCTTTCGTGCCATTCAGTGGGATAACGATGGCACGAATCATGATGTTTCATAAAACGATAATGGGATTTCAATTTAATTTAGGAACGATTCGCAATTACCGATGCATCTTTACTCGAAGATGGATAAAGCAATTATGTCGGTGGAACTAAAAAAAAGTATCTTGATAAATGTCGATGAGCTCGGAATTGTAGTTTGGAATTTTACAGCTTAACCGTATCCTTCAAGTATCCAAACAGATGTTGCGATATCAATATTAAATTTCGATTAAAAAGATGCTCTTTGTTCATCTTAAGTTATAATGGAGAACAAAAGGATCTCCTTTTCTCTTATTTATAAATACTCGATAAATCTAATAATTTTTCTCTTTTAGATATTTCTAGCTGTTCTGCTGCAAATCTGCTTTTAATTTTAATATGAAAAGTGAAAGTGATTGACTTCGATTAGACAAGATACGTTTCGCATCTTAGGTTGTTAAATCAGTTCACTCCTTTCTTTCCTCTCTATATATATCGTCATTTCTTTCTCTGGACCAAAGAACGATCAGTCTTCGAGAGGGACATTGCGGCAACCTTGAGACAAAAACGAAATATCGCGTCAATGGGAGGATAATATCGCAACGAGATGTAGTGCGTATCCGCCTTTTCCTCTTTGACGAAGGCGAGAGATACCGCACGCCACACCGACCCTGCCCAGTCGCAGCAGTGTTACCGCCGCAGTAACCCCTCACCAATTCCCTCCCTCCCTTCTTACCCTCTCGTTGCCCTCCCCTGCCGTATGACTGGCGTATACCCTTCGTTCCTAGGTGTAGGGGAAAGGGCGTCGGTGACCCTGCCAATCCTACGTAGGGATAGTGGAGCGAGGTCACGAGAGGTCATACGATTCCGAGCCCTTCAGGCGCCCTGCGTTGAGCGGGGGAGACGAATCGACGGCGACAAGAGAAGGGCGAAGGGTGCGGTGGTGGTGGTGATGGTGGTGATGATGGTGGCGGCGGCGGTGGTGGTGGCGGAGGCGGTGATGGTGGCGGTATAGGGCAGGTACAGGGAGCCTGTACTATAGAGATCAAGGTGTGCGGAGGAGCGGTTGCCCAGAAGAGGAGAACGCGCAGCGTGCGTGAAACAGGAAGTACTGGTGTACGCGTAAACTTGTATGCGTGTCTGCACGCATGTACGCGACGTCGACGTCAGTAGTGGTGCGGTGGGAGTCGATCGATGCGGCGAGACGTCGGGCGTCGCACTTTCCACGCACACACAAACACACAGCCCACTTCGCTCTCGGCAGTAGTAGTGGTGATCGATGGTGGACCTAACGCTACACAGTTCACTATCACCATCACATCACTGCCATCGGCCCCGTTATCAGAAACACTGACAGTGTCCGTAATATCGCGGAAGTGGTATATCGATATTACTCTCATGATCGTACATCGGTTGCGTTCGATTTGAACGCTCACGAGCTATAAACCTCATTCTATCATCTTTCTTCCGTATGTAAGGAGGAGGGCAGCTTTAACGCGTGAGTATCTAAATCGAATGCAATCGACTTTACGAAATTAGGAAATGTTTAAAGATGTAACGTTTTTTATAAAGATATTGTAGACATAATATTTACACGTAATATGTTGAACTATTAATACCAAAACTGGGGATTCATTAATGGGGATTGACGAATGTTGAAAATAATTCATGCAAGAACGATGAAAAGTAGGGAATGATCAATATTGTGAGAAACAATACCATAGAGAGATAAAAAATAAATCAAAATAATAAAGAAATATCCAAATGAACTTAGACATGCTAAAATTTTTTTACAAAATCATTTATACAGGGTGTTCCAAAATGATTGCCCGTCAATATTTCGCATATTGGTAGAGCAGACTAAACTGATTGTGAGTCGAAAAGTCCTGTAGCCTTTTGTAATTTTCGCAATAGTTAATAAAATATTAATTATTAAATATCGAATATTGGTTTCCAATAATTTTTTACTCAAGTACCATCAATTTTTACAGGAAAGCAGCAAGTGACAAAAATTGTTTATTTTCTTCTCATAGAGCGTTAAAAATTTTTAAAACATTTTTTATCAACTTTTTAATACTGCACTTTCTTATTGGCAACTATTTTTACCACAGCGATTTTTAGTACTTAATATCTTGGTAACTATTTTAAGAATTGCAAAATGGTGAAGGACTTTTCGACTTAGTTTAGTCTGCTCTATCAGCACACGAAATATTTGGCAGTCATTCTGGGATACCCTGTACAAATAAATTTAAATATACTTTTACTTAAAGTGATTTTGGATTTTCATTGTAATTTAATGCTTAAGCAACTCTTCGCCCTGTAGAGTTTTCTATAGGAAAAATATTACCGGATTTATTTGAAAGCGACTTGATATCTCGTAAGGGTACATGAGCTCCTAGTGCCGGCCTTGTACAGTCGAAATACAGCCGGTGGTGGAGTCGATGGCACCGACACTGGATGCGGAAGGGAGAGAGAGAGAGACGGGGGAGAGAGAGAGAGAGAGAGAGAGAGAGAGAGAACGAAAGGGAGGGAGAGAGGATGCTGTCTCGCTCGCGGAAAAGCCGACGGGGTTGTGAAACCAGCCCTTCCTTCCTCTCGTCTCACCCCCGTCGACCAACCGACACACCACGGCAGCACAGTACGTCGACCCTCGACCAACCAACCAACCAACTCTCGACACACCCCTCTTTCCCCTCATACTACTATCGGTGTAGTAGCGCCGCGATGCCCGCTCCCGACGCCACCGACACTCGCTCGGCATCAATGAAAATGACGTCACGGCAAAAAGCCCCGCGTTTAATTATCAAAGCTATGCGCCTCGCGCCGCGCACACGCGTATGCATGCATGCATGCATGCGTGCATGCGTGTCGACGGCGACACGGCGACGACGACCGTCGACGAGGAATCGCCGCGCATCGGGTTCGTCATGGAATTGGCACGTAAAGCGAACGACAGGGAAAGAAAGCGACGCGATCGCGCATTCCGCGACGCATTTAAGCATCAAGTGTGCTCGCGCGCTCGGTGGTAATATCGATCACAATTTAGGATAAGAATACATTTTCACGAACCACTCGTTGATCGTTTCAGCGACAAAAAGAATCGCACGATCAAAAAGATGACACTTGATATTCGTCAATTTTGATTGTGGAATTCGGTTATTGTTGAAATAACTTGAGCGATTTGTGAAAATGTACTTTAATGGAAGTTTTAAAAGATGAAAAGATGAAAAACAGATAAGAGACGCTTTAAATTCACAGCGAATTTATAAACATATACCAGCTCGCTAGAATACTTTATCAACAACGGCGATGATTCAATCAAATGGCCATACTGATTCATAGCAAAAATTCAACACAGCTCTTCGTCGCAAGATGTGCGTGATACAACCTTTCATCTCCAATTAAATGAATCGTTAGAAAGATTGCATCATGTAGGACAATACTTAAAATAATTGTGAACACATTCGAAAGTGAATGTAATGTCAGAGATGGCCAAGTTATAGGGAAATAAAGAGAACCGTAGGATATTACAGATAACCGGGATAATTATGAGAATAGTGATGAGAACACTCGTGATGTAGCATGCTAAGTGTTAAAATTAAAAATGAAAGGTCCGAGTTCAAATCTCAGTAGGCTCTATGAATTTTTCATCTGTCCCAATTATTCCCCGTTATATTTCCCGTTAATATCTTAGATTCCATACAATAAGCAAAAACAATACTAGGATAGATGGATCAGCCTTGCAATGTAATGCAATTACAATATCAGTTATACAATATTGTAATTACAATATCAGTTTATATTGATGTATCAATTGATCTGAGCATCGAGACACTGTTGTGTGTCTCCTGATATACTTACTAAAATCAATGAGCAGCCGGCCATAGCCTTGTCTCTGGTAAGGCGGTAGCGTTAAAATACAGGACACGTTGTAATTCAAGAAAGAGTTCTTCTCCTGGAACACACAGACATTAAAGTCTCGATTAGAGAATGCATAGAAGAGTGTTGTTAAAAGTACCACATCGCCGCTGGTTTATCACCTCCAAGATTTTTACGAATTAATAATTTATATTATCACGTGGAATATAGTCATTATTACTACAGATTATCTGAACTTTTATCAACGGAGCACGATTCTATAATACCTCGTGCTACATTAGGAGAAGTGAAGTTATAAATGCATTCGGTATTAAAGGCATGATCGATGATATTCCGCTCATGAACACGAATACGCCAGACAAGTTCTCTACAAAATTGTATCGCAACAAGGAAGATAAGCATATGCAACAGTATATTTAAAATAATATCTATTATGAGATCCTTTCCGGAGGAGTTCCAGCTTTTGTCCATCACGATATAACTCGAAAAATTAATTAAAGATCATCGAGAGCCCCTCCGGAAGTTTCTCCCAAGAATACCAGCATCAATTTTTCAGTGTCATCCTATAATGGACTCGCGGAACTCGCGAGGACCTCATCGTGGAAGAGTCATGCGCCTCTGGAAAAGAAAGAACCGCCGCAATTCCATCAAAAGAGTCACCCTCAAAAACAGAGCACACACTCGGTTACTGAATAAAACACAAGTTCTTGTATTTTTAACGTGGCCACGCGACGTAACTGTATGCAACATCAATATTTTTTTATTGGACAAAATCTCTTTCCAAAATGCCTGGTATATCTATCTTAGATCGTTCATTATGGAAACAATGGTAAATCGGATTTCTTGAAATTCCGCTAAAACAGGCGAGGGGATACTGCAACGACGAACTTGATCGATAATACAAACCTTTTCATTCCAAACTTAGTTTCTTATATTATTATTCTGTCGTTTTCAATATATAAAGCTCGAAATAAGATTATATAGCGTTAAATCGACATAATTAGTTTATATAAAAAAATTTAATCTAGTTATACCAAGAAAAATATATTCTCATTATTCAATAATAATTTTCAAAGGAAATAATATCGAATAGAAGATTACAATACTTCAAATCGAGAATTACAATATCTTTAAATTGATTTTAAATTATTTTTATTTGACAATATCTTCTTTCTAGAAAAAGTTATTTATATTATTGAATTGTTTGATTAAAAAAATTTCATAATAATAATTCCTTAGTCTTATTCCGAAAATGGTTCGTGTTCATGAATCTTACTGTGTTATACCGCGATTAGTAGCAGCAAGAGAACGATACGAAATCGGTGCGTGATCTCATACGAAAGTGATCCACTCGATTATTCCGATTCTCCATACACAAAGACAGTTTCCGAGCAAGCATTTCATCGAATCTCTAAATCCAGACATTTAAAGTGTCGCCCCGGTCGTGCCTTACAATTGAATTGGAACAGAAATTCATCCGTGAATGTAGAAGAAACAAACTGACATTGATTATTAGTTAAATGATATTAAGTTTTGTTTTGACACTGTAATATATTTCAAGTAACTTCATCGGTGTCTGAAAACATTCATATTCTCAAAAGAAATTTAATGTATATTTAACACCACATAAAGTTAAAGTAAAAATAACAGTTTCATCTTCTTGATATGACATGTTAAATGTCGAAAGAAAATACTGTTAACAAAATAATCATAGTGCTTTTTAGATAACTATTATTATAACATTAATATAAAGAATGTAATATTGTTAAAATGAGATTATCAAATTTTTAAAGCAACAATGATTGCGTTGAATAGAATATGATCGTTTTAAATTGAGAATAATTTTTATTTCTGTGCATATTACAGTACTATCTAGCAAGATCAAACAAGCATTCTACTGAAGACACAATTACTGCTCTGTTTAGCATTCTAAATATTTGCTAAGCATATACACACGTAAATTACGTTCAACCTAAAATTTTTATTTTTTCCTAGGCTTTCAATCTTAGGTCTCAAACTCAATATTATTTATTCAAATAATCCGAGGTCTGCTGAATACTTATGCTACTGATATGAACTATAAAACTTTTATATCATAAGCAAAATTTTTTTAATTTCAGGTGACAGTTATACTAAACCAAAAGCAAATAAATTCTTTCATTTTTATGCGATCTTCTTGTAAAATTAACACATTCGGACATTTTACTTGTGCGTATTTTAATTCTGTAAAAAAAAATTTTTGCAATCCAGTTCAATTTTGATTGTAATCCGTAATTGCGTGGTAATTGGCGTCGCTCCAGCAGTGAAATCTTAAACTCACCTCGAAATCTTACTTATCGCACTTGCAAAATGAATGTCTGATGTACAAGGTGTCTCGCGTTTTCTAATAACCGATTTTTATATTCCTCTTGGAATATCGTACGATCGAAAAACTTTTTTTGCATTTGCCATGCCTGTTGACATCACTCCCGGTTTCAAGCCGTTTGTGCTGAAAAGGATTTTCTAGTCCTTGTCCTGTGGTGCCAAGAACCTTTAAAAAGATATCAGTTGGACGTAAATGAACCAGATGCTTCATTCATTAATTTAGCACATACAGAAATCGCTAAAGAAAATACACGAAGGATATGTTCTGTATGAAAAATTATCGCAAAAAGAAGATTGGTTGTCAAAGAACGGAACTATATATAATCTCAGTTATATATATAATCCAACAGATGCGATAAAATACAATTTCTCTAAGGGTATGTCCACGCAAGAATCTCGCGTGTTTAATCGTATTAAATTTTGCAATGAATATAAACAATTTATTAACATCGGTAGAAATTAATATATATCCGGTGTATTTTTCGAAATGCTGAGAGATGCAACAGAATAATAATCTAACAAACGTAAAAGAAACCTTCCTCCATATCTCTCTCTCTCTCTTTCTCTTTCTCTCTCTCGTCGTGAAAGAAGAACTTAATCTCTTAGCCGAGACTACAAGTTATATCTCGGAGACGGTAACTATCATTTTCCACGGAGTACGTAGAGAATATATACCTCGTTGAGTACAGGACAAAAGAAGATATTACAGAATCGCAGTTATTTCTTGGGAATGAATTCGGATAGGATCAACTGCTCAACGTGTGGTTTCCGCAAAATTAAGAGTCATCGCACACCTGGCGCGGCCTTCTTGCTTTCTCTCTTGTGCAAAGATTCGTGCAAAATCGTGCACAAGAGTGACCGCTCTCCCTTCGTGAAAGAAAAAGTTAACGGATCGACGATTAAGACTCTACTTTTTAATGCCTCGCGCGCAGTGACGCAGCAACGCGACACGACTCTTTTTCCGGCGTGAGGCTGATCCGCTCGTTCGTTACATCCCGCAGATCCTTAAATGCCTCAACACGCGAGACACTCGAACGGATGATTTCGATGGTATTCGGACACCCGGTATTTCCGGCCGAGCGGCGGTCGTACTGTTGCTAACTGCCGAGGCAGCAACGGTCCGAAGGACACGACCCGCGATCAATGTGTGCGTGCACACGCCGGCCCACGTGTGCGTATCGGCGTGTTAACTCGGCGAAGTAGAAGACGAAGAAGGAGGAACAAAATGGGATAGACGTGCCGAGAGAGAGAGAGAGAGAGAGAGAGAGAGAGATACGCTAGGAAGGGGAACTTTGGGCCCTGAGAGAGCAACCGTCTCGAGGGGTCCGTCTGCGTCAGAAGGATAAGGGGGGAGACAAACCGCTGGGAACTAAAGAAAAAAAATAGGGATAGCTTTTTTCAGAAAGTATATTTTGAAACTGGAATATCGCTGTGATACAACGCTCGAAATGTATCAACAATACAATGCCCAGTGTCGGCAATTTATAATACCTGAAAAACATCGGATGGACAATACCAGAATTAAAGAACGCAAACGGTAGAGAAAGTATAGTGATTTAGTGTAGGAGGGCGACTACTTGTCTCGACGGCTGGTCGTCTGAGTTAAGTGAGACAAATCAACGGGAATGGAAATGAGTCAGCGAACGAGTGCCCAAGCCCGAGTCGTCCTCGTCGAGTTTATTCATTCGTCGTTCTTAAGAGGAATGTAAAAATGTTAAAGGATCCATCGACTTCAAACGCACCAAAGATTCTTCCGTTGCAACGCGCAACATCGAAGTTTAGAAATTCCTGTAAAGCGCGTGTATTTCACCGTTCTCGTTACAATCGAACCGAAAATTTTAATCGTAACGTTAGTCAGACCTGTTCTGGTTATCGTGATTGAATTTCAACAAGAAATAATACAAACAAAAATCTGATCATATGAATCTGATCAGAATTCTGGTTATCGTAATTGAATTTCTAATTATCTCGACTAAAACGTTTGATAGAATTCAACTATATAAGTATCTAATTTGTATCTTTCTGATTAAATTTACTAATTTCAATGAATACAACAAGACTTTTTTTCAGTGTAATGAGGCTAAATAAGATCCATTGGGTTCTATTGTAGCGGATTAAAAACGCTTCGTCCCGCTTAGTCCCGCGAAAAGCGTAGGGAGATCACGAAGAAGAAAGAGAACAGAAGAAGAAGAAACGAGAGACGAGAGAGGCAGAGAGGGAATCTGGGGCCCGCGACGTCCTTGGGCCCAGTAGTCTCCACGTTGCTCAGGGCCGTCTCGACGTCCCCACCGGCACCATCACGGAGGAGGCCATGTACTTTTCCTCCTCCTGTTCTATCTCTTTCTTTTCCCTCCCGTCGATCTCGTTTCCTCGCCGGTCGCCTGCATGATGTCGCGTAAAGACGACGGAGCACTTTGTCAGCTTGTTCCAAATCGATCGGCGATGACAAACGACGGAATTCGGATTAACGTGGAAGTCATATATTTTCCGGTGCCGAAAGACGCAAACTACGATATTACATCGCTATTTCATGTTTGTACTCTAATTTGATTTGCATAATTACTCTGCGTTATATTTCTTTACTTCCAATAAATCACACCAAAAGATTTTCTTCTTCGTCGTTGTACTGGACTGCGCTAAAAATTTCTTTCTCGCTTTCGCTAAGTTTCAGTCAATATTGTACCGCTCAAAAATTCTTGGCTACACTTTTTT